TCGATGAGGATTCTTAAGGGCATGAATATGTTAGATTTTCTAGTTTTATGATCAAGCCATAAGTCATTTTCCATTTTTCTTTTGTGTTGTTTATAAAACTATGTTCTGCTTCTTTTTGTTTTGAAACCACAATTTTTTCGGAAAAAGAGTATGAAAAAAGAGTCCAGACGAAGAAAAAACAAGCAAAAAAAGAGTCTTGAGAGAAAATAAGAGTGGGAGAAGAAAAGAAAAATAAAAGTGAGAGAAAGACAAGAGTGGTGAGAAACATGAGCGCCAAGAAAACGCACTTACTTCTTCGCGAGTCCCACTATAGACATCCGTTAATATTTAAATGGGTGGCGTTAGAATCTTGGAGGGTAGTAGCCTACATATTAAGGTGACTTCGTGAAAATCATTGTCGACATCATTTTATGCTGGGTTACTACCTAACAAGTTTCTATGAGTGACTGTGGTCTGAAACTGATGTTAGTGTGTTGAAAACCTCAGGGGCTAGTAGCCGGTCCACGTGTCTTTTTTATGTAAAACCTTTTTTAATCAAAACGGAAATGTGCATATTCATTGATTTTGCAAGTAGTTTTGTGTTTTAGAAAAGACGATGTTTAAAACCATTTTTATCTTAAAAAAAATGATGGTTTATCGTTTGTTGGCTTGAGATTAAAGTTAGGACGTTTAACTTGTGGAGCCTTTCCTGAGACATGGATGATTCATTTACTTAGAATTTTTGGATTGTTGTTCATTCATATTTCTAGCATGTTGATTGTTTTAGATTTGTTGTTGTTGTTTGTGCATGAGGACAAGCAAATGGCAAAGTTTGGGGTGTGCTAAGGTTGACTTTTTACTGCAGAAACATGTGTCGGTAGTTTTTTATCACGATTTTGACCCATTTCCCATCATTATTTGCCAAAAATGATTACATGTTCTTAAAGTAGAACATGCATAGAACATGTCTATATAAAAAGTCAAAATATGGTACTTTAGGAAAGATATGAGAAAAATGCGATTAAAGTTGGAAGAAAATAGTAGCTTTCTGTTTGGCAGGAATTGCGCCTTACACAATTTTGGAGTTCAATTTTGTCAGAACGTGCGTTTTGATTAATGAAGGGCAAGGAGGACATTTCCCACGTGTTTGAATCAAGCTACAACCGTGAGTCTAAGTCAAATGGAAGCGGTTAGGTGAATCTCAACTCATTTCTACCTAAAATGGTGGGAGGTTCAACAACTTCAAGGAACTATATAAGAAAGTCATTCCTCCAACAGCAAATCATCCTTTCCAAGCTTGTTTTCAGCTTCATTTACTTCCTCCTTTGTTGTAGAACTCGTTCTTAGGCTTTAGTTTTATATTTTATTTGTTATTTCCTTATATTTTCATACTTTTGCTTATCGTATGGCTTTTTATTCAAGTTCTACCTTCTGTTCTTCATTTATTTTGTTCTTCTTAAATTCTTCAGCAAGTTTACACTCCCCTCAATTCGGAAGAGAAAATCGTCAAGCTATAACTCCTTGTACGGCTTATTTATTCGTTTTAATTCAATGAAAAATACTTCTTTTATATTTTTGTGCATTTTCTTTCCTTTAATTATGCACCAAATTAGTTATCAACTTCTTTGTGGAATGCCTTAGTCAAAATGATTTGATTTTCAACATACTCGAGATTTTGCCCAGATTACGCCTGGAACTTGTTTGGGTTGGTTTCTAAAAACTTCTCTTTATGTAATTTTTTCCATTTGGCCAGTGAAATTTTGATTTATACACTAAAGCCCAACTCTAAGAATGGTGGGTTAGGCAAAATAATAGGAAAACAATATGGGATGTGACTTAGATAGAAGCACATAAAACATGGTCATAGACATAGGTCCTCTGACCCATAATGCAAATGAGTTGATAAATATTCTATAGGATTGTAATCACACATAGACATATGATTGTAGGTTACCCTAGCTTTTGGAGCAACCAGAAGCGATAGTGAAAGAGTAGAACTCAAAATCCATGAAAAACCAGAATTACGCCTGGTGCATTTTCCCAAAAGTGTGTATTTTCCATATTTTACATCGAAACTAAGGTAGGAAGCAAAGAGGTCGAGTTTTATAAAATTGCTTGACATTTATAACCCCATAAAACAATTTTAATCATCTTTTTTCCATAAACCACAATTGCATATTTGAACCATTCATTTCTTAAAAACTCTTTTGAAAGCAACAAGTCCCTGAGGATTCGACCTTAGATTACTCCTAACTATTAGTTTTGATCGTGTGCGCTTGCACGAGTTTCTAATCTTTTTAAATGTAGAGAAAGTCCCAACACATACACAAAAGATTTTTTTACCAACAAAATAGTTACCTTTGCAGCAAGAGGGGTGACTTTGGGTGAGGGGTGCGTGCTGTACACGGCTTGGATGGGGCTCGAACCAATGGCAAACTAAAGTACAACGAGTACACTGAACGTATGTGGGCTGCCAAAAGGTTTGGAAATCGTTGGAGGGGGCTGCTCTCTCGAAGAAATTCTGGGGCTGCACAAAACAGATTCTCTTGAGTGGCTAGTGGACTAGGCGGCTGTCCAAAGTGGTCAAAATAATAAAAAAATATTTTTAAAACAAAGAATAAAAAATATTAGGATTAGGCCAAAAAGAATTCGATTTGAACTAGATTTGATGGTATAAAGTTTTTCTCTGAAATTGTACAACTTCAAATATTGAAAGTTTTCTACTTGGACATCTTCTCTTCTAATGCCGATAACTTTTGATGCAGAGCTCGGATGGCTGCAATCTTTATGTCCCTAGAAAGCCCTTTCAAAGATCTTCAATTTGACATCTGATTTGACTAGGCGAACAATAGTCCACAGTCTTTTTACTCAGAAATACATGTTTTAACCAGTTGGGTTAGGCTCAAATTCGTTATATTTACAAAATTTTGTTGGTTATATACCATATTTATAATGACATGTGGAAACACTCATTAGCATTCATCTTTAAATATGAACCTTGAAGTGGTGAGTTTTCAATGGAATAATTTGGTCTTCAACTTTATCTTCAAAAATAAATAATAAATAATTTGGTCTTCAACAACCTTTACTTTGTCTTGCATGCATAAGCTCCTGGTTCATTTTTCAAACCTTTCTTCAATTTAATATTTAGTCCACCCATACACCCATTATTCATTAAGCTTATTAAAAAATAATAATTTAATTTAATTTAATTTAATGCCTACATCCTGGCATCTGCTGAAAACGAAAGTTTTTATATTTCTAAAAAGTATATATTGTATTTAATTATCTTCAATAATTTAGAAAGGATTTCTTTAAAATTTATACTCAATAAAAGCTTTTAAATAATGAAATATCCAAATAGTAACTTGATATTTGAAAAGTATTATTCTAAATGGCTTAATACTTCTCTAATATTATTATATATCTCCATCTAATTAAAAAAGTTAAATAATTCTACACAAATTAAAAATATCATGGTCTATTAATTAAAATAGAAGAGAGGGATGTGATTTTCAATACACCATGATAATAAAGTAAAAATATTATGATCTAGTAAAATATAGAAAAGAGGGATGCTATTCTCAATAGACCATGCAATGAAATTGTTTTTGTATCACGAATATAAGAGATATTTGATTGGAAGACTTTTTAATTAAGTGTAAAATGTTATTCAAATACAAATGACATAACTGAGTAGAGAGCTTTTAGTTCCTTTTTCAACAAAAAAACTTCAAATACAAAATTTAAACTTTTAAAATATAAGAGATGAAATGAAAATTTTTATTTTTTTTAATACTCACATGTGGTGGGAAATAAACTAACAACTTATTGATGGGAGATATAGGTAAATTATCCACTTTTACATGAAATTGAAACTTATTATTTTCAGATTAAATAGTATATTTACTCAAAATTAAAATATGATAAAAGACAAAAGAAATGCACTTACAATTAAGTGCGCACGTAATTTTATAAAATAATATATAATTTGTTTTTATTTCTAAGTTTACTTTCGCTAATTTCCTTACAAGTCTTTTAATATTTATTAACCCTACGTTTGAAAGGAAGGAAACATGGGAAAAAAAAACGAGAGAGAAAAAAAAAGTCTAACCATTCAACAAACACTAATTTGTCTCATATACATAACCTTCTGACACATTACTTCAAATTTATTATTAATTTGTTTATTTTTTCATTTTCAGTCAGATTTAGATTTATTTAGCACAACTTGTAACAGATATTTTTCAAATTTTGTTTACATAGAGGATTGGTTTTAATGTAAATGTGTAGTCAAACAATGCATACTATTGGTAAAATTAACATTTTTTCTTTGTTATATATTCCTGATGAAGATAAAGAGTGATGGGATAAAAATAATAGAAATTATTATAATAATAAAAATGAAAATATTATTATTGGCATATGTGTACTTATAAATAAATTGTATGGGACCATGAATTTTGTTTTTAACTAGTCAAAGAAAATTATACTTGAGGATGGTAATTTTGAGAGATAGTACTCGGGCCGAAGGTTGAGCTTCAGTTCGTGTTTACTAAATTTTTATATAAAAATTTTGGTACTATCCGAATACTTATCGAGTTAGTTGATATTATAATTTTACCTTTATAAATAATTCTTTAATGTTACTTGACCTAATATCGTATTAAAGTCATTCACCAAAACGACAGCACTAATTTACAAGTGATCTTTCGAAGTTGCAATATTTAAAGAATTAAACTATTAATATTGATTAATTGTACTACTACCCTAAGACTATCAGCATGAACAGAATCAAGTAGTTATGACTTTTCTACTCCATCTAAAAAATCTAAGTTGTTGTCATGTCTCTATCATAGGTGTGTGATTTGATGAAGATGAACACAAATTTGCATAGAAATTTGTAGGTAAATTGTACGATAATAAGTTAATCAAAAGGTTGTTATTTATTCATGGAGAGAGAAAAGTGAATGAAGTTTTGGGGATAATAATCCATTATATAAACCCAACCAGGTTTAGTTGCATTCCAAACCCAATATTATGGCTCAAACTCTCTTTCTCCTCTTCAAACTCATATTCACCATCTCTTTGGTCTCATCCATAGGAGTTGAAGGATATGATTACTTTCTGATGGTCCAACAATGGGGACCGTCGACATGTGCCTGTGTTCGATGTTACGCTCAACCTCTGCCCATGTTCACAATACATGGTCTGTGGCCCGGGAATAATAACTCACCGCACCCACTTATTAATTGCTCTGGAACTCCGTTTAAACCAACTCAGGTCCTCTATCATCATCTTCAATCTCTTGTTTCTTTTCCTTTTACAATATTCCTTCACCTTCTTCTTTCGTTAAGATTTTAAGTATAGTCTCAAATCTTTTCCTCTGTTCCTTTCCAATTATGACTCAAACATATAATGAAGATTCAAAGGTGTGAGGGTATATTTGTAAAATTCGAAAATGCTAATGGCAAAAATGAATAAATTAGGCTACAAATAATTATCGTTTAATTTGATTTAAGAATTTTTATAGGCTAAATCTTATGCTTTTTGTTTTATGTTCTCTAGATCCCAACAGCACAAAGACAACAACTACTAACTTATTGGCCAAACGTGGAGGATGGGAATCACCAATGGTTTTGGGGGAACGAATGGCTGAAGCATGGCAAGTGCTCGGATCCCCCCTTCAACCAGACTGCGTATTTCCAAACAGCTCTAAACATTCGCACAAACCACAACTACGACCTCCTCGCCATCCTCAACGCCGCCGGGCTCGGCCCCACCGGCACCGGCTTTCGCAATTACACAGCCATTGAAGGCGCCATTCATGCCGCCACCAATAGGACGCCATTCCTACGTTGCGACGTCAATGCCCACACCAGGAGATATCAATTGTACGAAATTGTATTGTGCTTCGATCGAAACGGCGTTACCCTCATCAACTGTAATCGAAACAACACCCGAGCCCTTCGCAAGCGATGCCCCAACCAGTTCGTGTGGCTCACCCGCAACCCTCTGAGTTTGGGCGTCGCTTTCTGGGAGCTTAAGGACTCACTCATCTATCATCTCTCCCTTTCTAAGCTTCTGTTAACCTTCGTGGCTCTCTCCACTGCCTTTGCCTTTGTTTGCTGGAAGAGATTTTTCCAAGGAGGTCGTAGTAAGAAGGACTGATCAGTTTGAAATACCTTTGTTTGTATGCTGTTATATCATGAAATAAAAGTTTGTTTGTCTCAGTTTTTTATTTTCTAAGCAGATGTTTCATTAACCACAATACTTCTTTAATAGAAGCCACTTATATATAGGTATTGAAGAAAGTGTATAGTGAATTCTAAAATGAATATCCTATGTAGCAGCAGTCAAGGAAGATCACATAGAAATTATTGAACGTTTTCTTTGAACATTGATCAAATGACAGACCACTCAGACAACTTCACGAAATATCACAGACTATAGCCTCCAAACAATGCTATGGTTGACTTTCATAGCATGACGCGGGGTACGCGATGTTACGGCTTTCCATAAGCATTTTTTCATGCTATGTCATACCTTATAAAAAATATATGTTTGATTGCATATCTTTGCCATTAGAAATACTTTTCATAGCGTGGTAAAGAAAGTTATAATAAAATCTTTATAGCTTGAAAAAACCGTTATGAAAGATTTTTTATAGCTTAAAAATAACTCTATGGAAGGCATTCCATAGCGTTTTACATATAAAGTTTTTGTAGTTTTTTTTTCATACACCGTGGTAGTCGATCTTATAGAAAGTGGTTGACTTTTTAAAGGGCTATGTTAATTAAGTTATTCTACATGATATATATTTTTTTTTGGAAAGGTAAATATATTAAAAAAAAAAGAGGATCTCAGAGCTCGAGATCAAGGCACAACACTCAAAGGGCAAACACAATACAAGAAGAAAGAAAAGTAAATTAAGAAAATAAATCCTAGGCCGAGATAATTATAGGATTAGAACTTAAACAACAGCTCCAAAGCGAGGTAGTACAATGATAATAGATCTCAACTTTCAAAATGCACAAGGGGACAGAAGGCGACCGTAGTACCCCGCCCGCATGAACTCTAGCATTATATGTTCCCTCCAGATAAAAGAAACAGCCAAAGTCCAAGTCAAGCGTCACACACGACGACGAGTAGATTTCCTAGCACTAATGTAACAAACCCAAGCAAGCTCAGTAGACCAATATGAAACCTGGTGAGAAGAACCAGCCCAAGCAATCATGCCAGACCAGACCTCCCAAATAAAGGGGCGCTCAAAAAATAGATGTGAAGAGATCGAATCACTAATGGAAGCAATTGGTCACTTGTGATTCAACTCGGTTTAGATGCTACATGTTACCAGATTTTAGAAACAGAACAATTTTATTCTAAATTAGAGATTAAGCATCTTGGGGAAGAAGATGACTTACATTTAAAGGCCGTGAGCAAAACTTCTTCCTTGAGCATGGATTTAAAGTCAGCACGAACAAACGATAAAGAACGCACGACCGAACACCAGCACAAAGGAACCTTGCTATGTCTCTAAGATTAAGGACCCGAATTTTCGGATCTTGATTCTTGGAGAAAGGAAAAATCGGAAATTTTTTGATCCTGAGAGAGAGATGTTATCTTGTTTGTAGGAAAAGAAAACCGATAAAAAAAAAAAACACAGTAAAATCACTATGTTCTCTCTCTCTCTCTCTGTTCTTTCAAGGAATAATCCCAAGAGTTTTTTATTCCAAGTTTGTTGCTCCCACAAGCAAATTTTCTTTCTCACAGGAAGATGCATGGTGGTGTTGAACGGAATTACTGGAGAATCTTTGTAGAAGGTCTTCAAAAGTAAGTGAAAAGTTCTCCGTTTTTTTTATTCACTGTGTTGTAACTTTTGTCCTTGAATTCAAGAAAACGATCCTTACTTCCGCTACGGGATTAACGTCCATTCACCAAATATGGATATTTTCTTTAGTATAAACTTTTTGCCATTTTGTTTGAGTTTTAGCATTTTTAAACAACTCAGTATTTCAAACTGCTTTAGTAATGGTTGGTCTAAGCACATACAAGTTGTTTTCAAGTTTAGCATAACAAATATTCACACCATTTATAAAAATGAAGGATTCATTTCTATTAAAAGAAATGGAATACAAATGTTCTAACAACCAATAAATTGAAATTAAGTTCCTTTTGATTTTTAGAATTACGTACACACATTATCTAATAATATATACAAATTTTTGTTTGTAAACAACTTGAGCTCCCCTACTACCACAGCTGAGGCGACCTCTCCCGTTCCGACCTTGAGAGTCATCTCTCTGGCTTCAAGGTGCCGTGGTTAGGAACTAATTCCCTAAAACGAAGAACATACGTGGTTAGTGGCTCATGAATCTAATATCCAGGTGGAATCATCATTCTCCAATAAACATGTTTAAAAAAAAGTAAATTGTATTTACCTTCATTGGCTTTTTTCTTTTCGGCTATGTATTCCGGGCAGTTGCATTTCCAATGCTCATCCACGTTGCAGTGGAAACACTTTCCCCTGTCTGCAACCTGGGTCTTACCTTTCTTGGCAACCATAGTAGCAAGGTCGGGTTTCGGCCCCTTACTCGCAGTTGTCTACTTCTTGAAAGTCTCACTTCAAAAGAAGAAGATGTAAATTTTTTTCAAGAGGTCGAACCTCGATGGAACCTTTTGGTGGTTAAAACATTTGCCTCCCCATTCTGTCCCTTATTTTTTATAAGTGTCTGGTAGGTTTGAGCTCATTTAAAAGCGTGGTAAGAGTGTACTCCAACTTATTCAAAACCGCATTGCTGACGAATTGCAGGAAACTTTTCGGAAGAGATTCTAGATTAAAGCTGACTTGTGATACGCAACAACCCAAGCGAATTGATCTACTCGAGCCACAAGCCACTTGAATCCAATCGTATAGTTGGTTCAACCCAGAAGGCTAAGAGTTAGAGGGATTACCTTCGCAGTCGTTACCTTGAGCAGACAGATTACTCACTATGCTCGAGGCCGGAAACACTCCACAAGTTTGATGACCAATCAAACAAGCATGCTTCGAGAGTAAAAATAAAAGTTCCTAAGTTCAACCACACAAAGGAATCCATTTTTTTTTTGGGGCGGGGAGGGGGGTTTGCACACGACAAGGAAAAAACATTCAAGGTTTTTATTCAATTCATCTTTCAAAAGGTGCTTCAACATGGAGCGGGAACATGCCTACGCTAAGGCCGTTGGTCTTTTAAGGAAAATAACAAAATAAAAAA